GGTATCAATGAAACCGTTAAACAGATTTTCACATAAGCATTGCACAAATAGAAAATAGACGCAGAATCAACCAAATCCAGCAATATCAATTGCATCTATACATTTGTTACAATGTGTTACTTATGTCAAATGTGATCCTGACAAAATTTGCTACTGACTTACCGATAAGTTAGCTAACTTTCTAATGGGAAATTAAAATGGGAAAAATCTATAAAAGTCATCCTGACAAAATTGGTTATTTCTCGACAAGGGAAGATAATAGAAGCCATTTTTGGACATCTATATGATCGTATTGATCCAATCTATATGTCCATTGGAATCAAATATATGTATCAAAATTGTTAAACGAATAATAAATATAACTCACTTCAAAAAAAATATTTGTTTTGAAAGCTAAAAAAATTGTTTTTGCCCAAATGACATTACTTCCGGTGATAATGAAAATCCAATAATAATTAACTCTTTTACAGGCAAACTAGCGGAAATTGTGGCTCATGCAAAATTGCCCATTTTTCGGCAACTGCTCATATTACAAACTAATTTTCACATATACTATTCAAAAAAAGTAGGGGATATTTGATTTTGGGGGCATAATACTAAAATATGCAAATGACTACGAAAAAAGTCACTATAGAACCTAACAGAAGAAACATTTCCAGTTACATGTGACGCCCAAACGCACCAATAGCTACCGCATGGAATGCAGGTGATGCTTGGGATCATCATGGGGGTCCAACCCAAGATTTGCACGACTCTGACTTTGAATGTTACAGTCATTGTGGCATTGAATTCCAGGGTGGAAACATCAGTTTAATTGTTTTAGTGACCAGAAAACAAATTTTGATATGCGTCGGCTTACCCAAAATGAAAGGTTACGTGCCCTTGGCATGCTACAGATCGGCACAACACAGGCGGTTGTGGCGCGGACGATGAATGTTTCTCAGTCTGTCATAAGCAGGCTATGGTCCAGATACCGTGATACACAATCTGTACAGGACAGACCACGCTCAGGTCGACCAAGGGCGACAACTCAAGCCCAGGATCGATTTATCCGTACCTTGGCCTTGAGAAATCGTGTCATCACAGCAAATCAGATCAGCGCTCGTCTTCAAACAGACACTGGTGTGAGAGTGAGTGGCCAGACGATTCGGAATCGACTGCATAGGGGTCACCTTCGCGCCCGACGTCCTCGCGTGATCCCTTGTTTGAGAGATCATCACATTCAGGCAAGACGTCGTTGGTGTAGGGATCGTCAACACTGGGATAATCGACGCTGGAGCAATGTGATGTTTTCAGATGAGTCGAGGTTCACTGTTGATTTTTTGGACAGACGTAGGAGGGTGTGGCGTCGTCGAAACGAGCGCTTCCAAGACGTTAACGTCATCAGACATGATTGATTTGGGGGTGGTTCTGTTATGGTGTGGGGAGGCATCACTGTTGCTGGAAGAACGGCTTTACATGTTGTTGCAGGGCGTGTTACAGGCCAGTACTACCGGGACAACATCTTGGCAGTCCATGTTGTGCCGTTCGCACGACGTCATGGCCGCCGTTTCATCTTCCAGGATGACAACGCAAGATGTCACAGGGCCAGGATCGTTACAGGTTACCTCCAACAACAGAACATCACCACATTACCTTGGCCAGCACTGAGTCCCGACCTCTCCCCCATCGAGCATGTCTGGGACATGCTTGGACAGAGGTTACGTCAACGTCAACAACGTCCTGCCAATGTCCAAGAACTTGCTGCTGCGTTGCAACAGGAATGGGACAATCTGGACCAAAATGACCTTAGACGTCTCATTAGGAGTATGCCACAGAGGAGGATTTACCCGTTACTGACTTGGTTGTGATGCTGTGGTAACTTTGCTGTTTGACCCCGGGTATCATTTTACCCTTATAATGGACATGACAATGACTCAACCACAGACCAAATTTGAGGAAGATCATATTGTTAAAATTTTACAATCTTCTAAATATCGTGGGCAGTTTTGGTATAAAACTAGATTAAAGAATATTAAAGGGCCACAATGGATTATTTGCGATTTATTGCCCCAAGATCTGGTAAGACAATTCCATGCCACAAAAACACAAAAAGGCTTTGTAAAAAAGAGGCGTCCTTAAAACAAGTAGTGTTTATTTTTTAAATATACTCTTATAGTTAGATATATGGGTATCTAAGACTGATCACACTGTCATTGAATGTTTTTATTTGACCACACATATTTTTTTAACCCTATACTTACTACATTATTTTGGTTAGCAATTTTATTTTACTAAGTTCCCATGACTTATTGTGGGTAGATTGTTTTATTAATTTTCCATCTAAATATGTATGATTGGCAGTATGGCTTAATTTATATACACGATTTAGTTTAAATCTTGATTGGTTCAATTAATTATTTGGCTACCATACTAATTTGATTGGAATACTATGTTTTATTGTATATATTACCTATGACTTATGAGTGATGATGTAAAAATTGGCATTACAGTAGAGTATTTCAAGATTAAGACATTGACTTATCTATAACTTATGCATACGTAATGTGATGTTGGCAGCATGGCCATAATCATATTCATGGCAGCACAAATGTTGAAGGGTTTAATTAATTATTTTGTTACCTTATTTTAGTCAAAATATATTACTATAACTTACTGTAAACATGCATATTTTTTTATTTCAACAAGGTTTCACAAGTCGTTATCAAGTGTATATGCTTGATAACGACTTGTGAAACCTTGTTGAAACGTCGCAGTGAAATAAACCATAGTAATTGTTATCCATAAAAGTGTGTTTTTGAAGAATGTATTATGTTAATGGTAATATTTTAATACCTGTATATAGTTAATATTATAAGCTTATTTTCTAAGTCTATAATCTTCTTTGTATTCTTTTAATATTTTAATCTATTCTGTATACCTATAATATATTTCTGAATATTGCCTCTGTAATTGTTATTACTGTATCTACATTATGTACTACAACTAACTGAATCATGTGTTTATGATCTATGAATAAGAAGAGACCGCAATGAAGAACTGACAACAGTATTAAGAACCAAGCTGGTTACAACAATAAGAGGTCGTTTGATCAACGTTTAATTTGGCTAGAGCAATCTTAGACATTAAAGAAAATCTTAACAAATCTCGTAGCTTACTCATTTTAACGTTGAACGCCATCATTAGGGATGCCCGTCTATTTTTAGTAACACTACGTCAAAACATGTCTGCCCACTATCTGTCTTTATATGAAAGTCAGAAAAGAGTTAAGTAGTGCCCAGTACCAGGAAATATATTTGGCGCAAGTTGGCCAGAGTGCTGTGCCGACATGGAAATGCCATAAAACAACATTCATTCATTCAAGTAATATAAAATAAACTAAGATACGTTATTTAATCTTTAATGTTAATTGTTTATTTGTTAAGAAGTGTTACATGCACATGTAAATGAAAAATAAAAAAAAGACTATTTAAGATTATAATATTGTTTATTTATCAGAATTGCAAATTTTTGTGATGTACGCGGTTTACTGCTCCTCAAATCTGAGCAAATGCTATTCAGATTTTGAATTGATTAGTCAAAATGTGTATCTGTCACAAAAATTTGCTACTCATTTGTTTTAGACTAAATTGAACCCTGATTATTAGTATTATTGTAATTCTCCAGTGGTTTATCGAATGGTTGAGTTCTAATCTCGGCCCGAAACTGCCCTACAAAATGGCCGCTCTTTGAACACAAATAGTGTAAAAGTATGGAATACGAAGGTTGTAGACCCTCTAGAGGTTACAATATTTGTCCGATTTTGATAAAACTTAAAATATATATTTATATCCCAAAGATCTCAGTTCCCTTTGTTATTCGCTCATTTCAGACCATAACTTACTGGATTATGGCCCCTGATTGTACGAAAAATCACTTTTTTTTTTTTAGCTAGTTCTCTAACCATCTCTTGCAAAATGTAAGCATATCTTGCATGGAAACCGCTGGTTTTTGTCAGCTATAGCCACTTCATGTTCAATCAAGCTGATTTGTAAAACTTTGAAATGAAATGAAATGGGGTTTAACATCCTACTGTTCTGCCCCTGACCGGGCTTATGAAAGTTCAAATTGATCACATTCAGAGCGAAAAATTCATTTAGATATAAATCATTTCTTTTACAGTCTTCATATATTAACTGGTTTGGCCAATAAAAGTGCGTCTGAATTGTGGAAATACCCCCTTAATCTGGTCTGCCCTCTGTTTGCTCCCCCCCCCCCCCCAATAATTTTAGAAAATAAAAAAAAGTATTTGCGATACGTTTCGGTAATCAATACCTTCTACGGTGAATAAATCCCACATCCCCACTTAGTCATAAACTTGCATGTTGTAGAGCATTTCCGACAGTCTATTTTTCAAAATTTTCTTGGCGAGGTCCCCAATGGACTCGCTACTTTGGCGCTCACAAGGGGAATTCGTTGAGGTTCGCAAGTCTGTTCGTTTGACATTTTGTTCTCTAGTCGGTTAAACTAGTGATCAGGCGACGAACGGTATCTGGGCAGATCTATTTATCTCGACGATCGTTGCCTGACAGAATACTGTAAGACAGCATTTCCTGCAGTCTATTTTTCAAAATTGTCTGGGGGAGGACTCCCTACTTTGACGCTCGTGAGTGGGCTTCGTCGTGATTTTCAAGTCCGTTCGTTTGACACTTTACCTCATAACACGTACACTGTATGGTGTATGCCCATCTTCATTAGGCATGTTGGAACAGAACAGTAGCATGTTAAACCCCATTGCATTCCATTTTTTTTAATGGGTCTTTTTCATATTTGGCTTGAAGTATTGGGGTCTTCAATCCCTATCCCTAAAGGTTAGATTTCTTCAAGGATCCTATAGATCCTTATAAAATTTGCTCAACATTCAAGTTTTCCTTTCGAATAAGCTGCAGCTGAGACGAAGCTGCTCTATGGGCTTTTATTCCATCTTCTATTTTATTAAATAGTTATTTAACCTGTTTCAGGAGATCTTCTACACAAGCTACAAAAATCCTATCGAAGCGTTATATTATCAGCTATACAGGAAACTTCAAATGTAAATGGAAATATTGATACTTCAGAAAGAAATGGTGTGTGTCGGTGCCATAGAATGTTTCACCTTATAGAGGAAACAACACTAAAGGATTATTCCATGTTTTATGTCGGTAGAGAAAGTCAGACACTCTCAAACCTCATGATGAATTTTACTGAAAACAGTTTTTATTCATATGATCCAGTCAGTCAAAAAGGACGACATGAAGAAATCAATATCAATAAAACTCTAATGAAGCGTTTTTATATGATAGAACGTGTTAAAGATGCTAATATAGTTGGAATAGTTGTTGGAACTTTAGGAGTGATCAACTATTTAGAGATTATTTCTAAAATTAAAAAACTGTTGAAATCAGCTGGGAAAAAGCACTATACATTTGTTGTTGGGAAATTAAATGTTGCAAAACTAGGTAACTTTATGGAAGTGGATGTATTTGTACTAGTATCATGTTGTGAAAATACACTAGTTGATTGTAAAGAGTTTTATAAACCTATTGTAACACCATATGATTTAGAAATAGCTTGTAATGGTAATACACAATGGACAGGTCAATATACTACAGATTATACACAATTATTGCCAGGTATGATTTATTCTTTTCTTCAGCAACTGTGTCAGTATATCGATCAGTTGAAGTAAACACCTCTCTTTTACAGAAAAACAACTTATTTAATTGTGTGTTTGGCATCATCAGTGTCGATAGAAAATAAAACGTGGGGAAAAAGAATCCGCTTGCTTTATATGGAAAAGCGAAGTGCCCACGGTAAAAATACACATGGCTGGACCAGTGGATTATTTACAGTACAAACGTCGCAAAGGTTTGATGAAACACGATTATCGTGTCGTTTTTTGTTGAAAATTGCCACAATATTGCCACGATAAATAACTCAGTGTAGCAGTCGCTATCATGTGCCACGATAGGGCTCGGTGTAATTTTACATGCAAAATTAACGGTATTTAATTGTCTTAAACAATCGATGTTGTAACAATATACTGCCAACGATGTTATGAATGTTGAATATTTTCGTTAATAGTACGGACGCGTTAGGTCAGGTTGTATTGTGAGAACACGCGTGTTCACATATTCTGCACGATATATAAGCGCTTATATTTCCAAAAGGTCATGTAAAGCTGCATGTCTAATACATTTTGAAGGACACATATGCATAAGACTATTACACATTTATGCTGTCTTCAAATTGTTTTGCATATTTACTGTATTAAGAGTGTATAGTTAAGAATTACTCTCGAATCATGGCAAAGATAGACTTTTAAATTGCAAACTATAAATGTATTTTGGTTATCGGTCTTACAAATAGAAATAAGACATAAATAGAACTTGCAACGCAATTCGAACGCGCTTTCAAGTTAGACTTTCAAGTCAGCTTGTACTTACCGTAAAAATGAAATGAACGCAACACAAGTCTCCGATGTAATAGTTAATGCCTTCTTCTCTAATGTGGCCGATAAAATACTCAACTGCCCATACAGATAATACCCCTAGTAATATAAGGCTTGATGATAATAATTTAAAAACCTATGGAAACTCTAACATACCCGATGGCGTTTCTTTCAAAATTCGGTTTATGAAAACAACTGGTGTGGTTAATTCCCTACAAAAATTAGATGTTTCCAAGGCAGTCGGTCTTGATTCAATAAATCCACTTTTTCTCCGCTTAGGTGCTATTCAACTTTCTGCTAGTCTGATGCACATTTTTAACTTGTCAATAAATCATAACATGTACCCTTCTTTATTTAAACAAGCTAAAGTTATTCCACTTTATAAAGGAAGTACCAAAGATGACCCCAATAATTATAGGCCGATATCAATTCTACCAAATATATCAAAAATTCTTGAAAGACATGTTCAAAAACATCTTAGCAATTATTTAAATAAATATCAACTTTTATATAGTAATGAATCAGGTTTTCGTTTATCTAGCTCTTGTCGAACAGCCTTACTGACAACTTGTATGATTATATTAACAACAATCTCATTTGTGCAGCAATATTCTTTGACATTAAAAAAGCATTCGACTTAGTAAATCATGACATTCTTATTGTCAAATGTAAGCATTTTAAATTTTCTAGAAAGTCAATTCTCAGTCTAGAATCATACTTAAAAAACAGAAGTCAGTGCACGTCTGTTAATGGCATATTATCTGATAATAAACCTATTTATCACGGTGTACCCCAAAGATCAATATTAGGACCCATATTATTTAATATTTTTATAAATGATTTACCATTATACCTATCCGCTAAACTGACCTCTTTGCAGATGACACAACGATCTACACCTCTGGGTCTACTGTCAAAGAGTTACAACACAAACTTCAATTTGACGCCAATATAGTATTAGCCTGGTGTGATTAAAACCATGTGACGCAATAAAAAAGAAATATCCTCCCTGCTACTTTGAATATTAAATTATGTAATGAACCATTAGAAGTCGTCTCCTGGGTAAAAATATTGGGTGTTTTTCTCAATCATAAACTAATTTGGAAAGATCATACCAAGTATATCTCTAAAAAATTAAGCCAGAAAGCTTTTCAACTCGCGTCAAATTAAAAAGTATCTTCCAACTCCTTTCCGAATCCTTTTCTATAATGCCCACTTTCTACCACATATAGATTATTGTTCCTCAGTATGGGACCGTTGTAATGCTAAATCTCTTGACCGTCTTTCTCGACAGCAAATCATGGCCTTTAAAATTTTATCTTAGATGTAAAACATACTGCCGACGTTTACCCTCGACTAGACAAATTGAAAATTCTGACAATAGTAAATAGACATATCTCTTAATCAATGTATATTTATCTATAAAATTCTGCTAAAACAATGCCCTGATTACTTATTTGACCTATTACCTTATTATCAAACTCCTTATAATCATCTTAACAATAAACTTACATATAGGTCATAATTTTTATCCGATTTAAAAAAACGTATTATTATATCGGTAATTGGCTGATTGGGACCATGGCTGATTGGGACCTGGCTGACTGGGACCAGATTCTTGGCTGACTGGGACCAGATTTTTGGCTGATTGGGACCACGACAAGGCTCATTCGGACCATTACTTAAATGACGCGAGTATTTAAAATATGTTTGCATATTTTTGATAATAAGACAACTATGACAATAAATAGTGTAATTAGTCACAAATAATAGTGTAATTAGTGAATGACGGCTTCAATACAAATGAGCTAAATCACAGAAGATGCTTCACATTCTTGGCTGATTGGGACCAGATTCTTGGCTGATTCTTGGCTGATTCGGACCATGATCAGACCAATGACGAGAGTGTTTTAAATATGTTTGCATGACAATAAATACTACCCAGTATTATCAAATTGTAACCCAATATCAAATAGCCTCATATCAGTATAATTACTGCAACGAATGCGATATTTTGTAATGAGTGAAGTTGAAAAAATGACAGACAAATTGTAGGCCTACTTTGTATAATATTTTAATTAGTAAATATCACACAAATTCCCTGTTGTGGCTGTCAGTAAGATCTGAGTAATTTTCATGTAGTCATATAGTACACTTTCCTAGATATCACCTACTTGTGTTAAAATTGAGTCAATAAATCTATTATGACTTTTTCTTTACAAGGTAGGATTAACATTTTGACTGCTTTTACAAACATCATATTTGAAATAACCGATTACCGTTTCTACTGTATTGCTTATCGGACCGTAACTTCCTGAATTATGGCCCCTGATTGTACGAAAAATCGCGTTTTTAGCTTGTGAACCCTATAGAGGTCTTAATTTTTATCCGATTTAAAAAAACGTATTATTATATCACCGTTACACGCTAAGGACGGCTGAGTTCGAATTTTGTGAAAATTGGCCCAAAACTGACAGACTAAATGGCCGCCCTTCGTTCTTAAATAGCGTAAAAATATGGTATATCAAGGTTGTGGACCCTATAGAGGTCACAATTTTTATCCGATTTTGTTGAAACTTGAAATGTAAGTTTATAACCCAAGATCTCAGTTCCTTTCGATATTCGCGCATATCGGACCGTAACTTCCTGAATTATGGCCCCTGATTGTACGAAAAATCGCGTTTTTAGCTTGTGAACCCTATAGAGGTCATAATTTTTATCCGATTTAAAAAACCGTATTATTATATCACCGTTACACCCTATGGAAGGTTCAGTTCGAATTTCGGGAAAATCGGACCAAAATTGCCAGACAAAATGGCCGCCGATTGTACACGAATAGCGTAAAATTATGGTAAATCAAGGTTGTGGACCCTGTATAGGTCACAATTTTAATTTGATTTTGTTGAAACTTGAAATGCATGTTTATAACCTAAAGATCATGGTTCCTTTCGTATTAGCGCATATCGGACCATAACTTCCTGAATTATTGCCCCTAATTGTACGAAAAATCACGTTTTTTGCTTGTGGACCCTATAGAGGTCATAATTTTTATCCGATTTAAAAAAAACGTATTATTATATCACCGTTACACCCTATGGAAGGTTGAGTTCGAATTCCGTGAAAATCAGCCCAAATTTGCCAGACAAAATGGCCGCCGTTTGTACGCGAATAGTGTAAAAATATGGTAAATCAAGGTTGTGGACCCTGTATAGGTCACAATTTTAATTCGATTTTGATAAAACTTTAAGTGCATGTTTATAACCTAAAGATCATGGTTCCTTTCGATATTTGTGGATATCGGACCATAACTTCCTGAATTATGGCCCCTGATTGTACGAAAAATCGCGATTTTTAGCTTGTAGACCCTATAGAGGTCATAATTTTAATCCGATTTAAAGAAACGTATTTTTATATCACCGTTACACCCTAAAGACGGCTGAGTTTGAATTTCGTGAAAATATGGTATATCAAGGTTGTGGACCCTATAGAGGTCACAATTTTAATACGATTTTGTTGAAACTTGAAATGTAAGTTTAAAACCCAAAGATCTCGGTTCCTTTCGCTATTCGCGCATATCGGACCGTAACTTCCAAAATCGGATCAAAATTGTGTCCTCTCTCTCTAGAGGGTCCAAAACCTTGATATACCATATATTTACAATATTTGCGTACGATGGGCAGCCATTTTGTCCGGCAGTTTTGAAACTTGAAATACATGTTTATAACCCAAAGATCTTGGTTCCTTTCAATTTTCATGCAAATCGGATTGTAACTTCCTGAATTATGGCCCTTGATTGTACGAAAAATCACTTCTTTTTGTGAGCTTGTTCTCTGTACATCTCTTGCAAATTGTGGGCGTATCTTGCATGGCAACCGCTTGTTCTTCTTTTGCCCATCTTATTCAGCTATCAGAATCGAACTATTAAATTCATTAAAGGTATTCACATAAACTATTAATCTAGATCTAATTTTAAATGGCTCTACAGATCTTTCGAACACCTCCCATATCTTGATTTTTAAGGCAGTCCATTATTTTATTTAAAGTACTTAAAGGTTTTGATTCACTTTTACATATTGTTGTATAATATCAAATAATTGCATCAACTATATTTCGTATATATCATTTCCACATGAAACTGTATATATGTTCGGTTTTACAATTTATTATATTTAATCTTATTCTTATGTATATGTTATTTTATCGCTTTTTTTTTCTGTATCCCTGGGAAAGAACTTATATAGGCTTTGCCTGTTGTTCAATCCTTTTCAAATGCATAAAATATTGTTTAAACTACAACTAGATATGGAGGCGAGTAATATTCAGCAATATACACAATCCTACACTCAATATGTAAATAGTTCTCTAATTGTAGGTTCAACATCTTATGTACCAGTTTCACCAGATAAAGATAATACAGTTGTAGATGTTTCCATGGTGACCAATAAATTAAGAACAATAGGATACATTGAAAGAGACTGTGTTAATGCTGAACATAGAGAAATAAGTGAAACTGTTAATAAAACAATTACATCACAAGCCATCTCTGCAGGTAAATGTAGAATCTTAACATAAGATAAGAGTACAGTAGAGGATCACCCTTTTATACGTCCGCATTTCCATGTGGACGTATTATGTTGTTGCGCCTGTCTGTCCGATCGTCCGTTCACATTTTGTTTATGGACACTCTACAAGTTGACGAAACTTGAAATATAGATTTATATCCCAAGATCTCGGTCCCTTTCGATATTCGTTCATTCTCCACTAAACTGAACCAAATACATTATACATTGTCGCCCATACATTTTAGATAACAAATATCTATTTGGATAAAACGATTTTTAAATCTAACATGAAGTTGTTTGTCTATATTTGATCACACCCACATGTACATGAGGAAATTTTCATAATCGGCTCTTCAATAGGCCATTTTTACCATATTTTACTTGTCGCTCTTTGCTTTCTCTGTAATGTTTGTTCTGTTAATAAAAGTTACCGCATTAAAAGTTGTTATTTTTTTTATTTTTCCACAGCATATAGCGCCATTGTTTCGAATAAAATCCATTTTACCCCCTCCCCCCCGCATATTCTTGGAATTTAAATTTTATCCGTTAAAAACCTTTCGCAAATTTGGCAACAGATACGTGACGTGACCATATATTTGGAGTGGTTAAATTTTGTCATCTAGGGTTTGGTGAGGTAGGAATGCTCCCAGAATAACCGATTGTGGCATGTGTTTAATCATTTATTATGAGAAATAGCTGAATTAATTAGGATCTCTGCTATATACATCGCACAGATGAAAAGTAAACAGGTGCGTTCGGTTTTCAAAAGATACGTGATCATACTGTTCTTAGTTTACTGTAAGTAAAGCCACGTACCAGATGATTCATGGTTTTCATTACTACATAGGTGGCAGCTATGATTTGTACGACAGCGAAAGAAAGCTACAGACATTAAAATATACTTCTCGAGTGATGGTATAGTTACAAACAGATACGTGATAAACTGATACGTTACCGTTATGATTAAAATTGAAAATTAACGCCACTGCCCACTTAAATAACGTGATATCAAACGAGAATCTGACGACCACGTGTCCTTTAGACCTTGAAGCCGCCATCTTAGATTTAACGACGTTAACGACAATATAAATTCAGATATTGAAATCAGGACAGTTTTGTGTTAGTAATACTACATTTTCTGTAATTTACGATTTTGTTTACGTCGGTTCCTACTATCAACAACTTAATTTATGATTTTTAAGGTGAAAAAACAAATAATTTAATCAAATGAAGTGCTACGTTAGAGCAATGTTAAGTGACGTATCTGTTTTATGGTGGTAACGTATCTATCAAACCTACCTTTAAGCCAGTTTGATGGGGAAAAATCACTGGAAATTCTGCTGAGCTGTACCAGTAAGGTTCTTATTATATTGATATATAAACTAAATCTGTTTTATGGTGGTAACGTATCTGTCAAACCTACCTTTAAGCCAGTTTGATGGGGAAAAATCACTGGAAATTCTGCTGAGCTGTATCAGCAAGGTTCTTATTATATTGATATATAAACTAAATTAAAGAAAGACACCAAAATACTAATTTAACGGCTAGTGCTTTCTGTTCGTATTGAACATCTTCAGGCCATTTTTATACGCCCACATGGAAATGTGGTCGTATATTGCCGTCGCCCCCATCCGTCCGTCCGTCCATCGTCCACAATTTCTTGTGAACACTGTACAGACTACATTTATCATCTGATTGTTTTGAAATTGATATATGTTGTTTGCATTAGTGTGATGAAGAAGCCTATTTAATGTCAATAACTTCCGTTAATTCCTTCTGGAGTTATGACCCTTGTTTCACTTTGTTGCACCTTGTGAACGCTCTAACGACAAAAGTTATCAACCGATCTGTATGAAATTTATATGCATCATTTAAATTAGTATAACAAAGAAGCCTATTGAATTTCAGCAATTTCCGTTTATTACTTCTAGAGTTATGGCCCTTGTTTCACTTTGTTGAATCTCGTGAACGCTCTAATGACAAAAGTTGTCAACCGATCTGTTTGAAATTGATATGCATCATTTAAATTAGTGAAATGAAGAAGCCTATAGAATTTCAGCAATTTCCATTAATTTCTTCTGGAGTTATGGCCCTTGTTTCACTTTGTTGCACCTAACAACAAAAGTTATCAACCGATCGGTATGAAATTTATATGCATCATTTAAATTCGTAAAACAAAGAAGCCTATTGAATTTCAGCAATTTCCGTTTATTACATCTAGAGTTATGGCCTTTGTTTCACTTTGTTGAATCTTGTGAACGCTCTAATGACAATAGTTATCATCCGATCTGTTTGAAATTGATATGCATCATTTAAATTAGTGAAACGAAGAATCCTCTTGAATTTCAGCAATTTCCGTTAATTACGCCGTGAGTTATGGCCCTTGATTTACTTTGTTGAACTTTCTAACAACAAAAGCTATCATCCGATCTATATGAAATTTATATGCATTATTTGAATTAGTAAATCGAAAAAGCCTGTCGAATTTGAACAATTTCTGTAGATTGCTTCCAGAGTTACGGCCCTTGTTTTAGTTTTTAGAACCTTGTGAACCTTCAAACGAGAGAGAGGACACGACAGGGAGGACACGACAGGCTTCTTACAGAATTCCAGCTGATAAAAAGTCCAAAAAAAAGCTGGAAGAATGTAAACTGAAAAATCAAATTTATTGTCAGAGGTATAGAGCTAAGAAAAAGAAGATGCTTTAAATAAAAAAGGGGATGGCGACGGAACTCAGTTTAATCTCATAACAAGTACAACAAATGTTCCAGGTCCTTCTTCATCATCTGCGCCGCTATCACCTGGTCCTGAAAGACATTCTTCTGGTAACCAACTCATAGTCCAGTTTCTATTCACAGTAAAATCTTCTCCACCAAAACGTCGATCGAAAGCCCTGAAAAAAGCAAAAAAGGAAGTCAATGAATTGAAAACAAAACTACAACTGCAAGAAAGATTAACAAAGAGGTGGCGTAAAGGATGCGAAAGGTCAAAGAAAACAAAACCGCCCACCCCTGTTCAACAACATCCGACAGAATCAACGTCAAATTCAAAAACCCGGTCGGAATTAAGGAGTTGTGGAGTGAACCCAAGATCTCTCCCACGTTCGGTTGTCCGTAAATTAGTTGCAAGCAACTCTCTTTTGGCTGAAATTAAAGAATCAATAGAAAAAAAAACAGCACAGAAAGATCAAAGATTGATCAACAATGTAATCTATGGAAAAATATTAAAGAAATATAGAGCCATGAGGTATGTTAGCCGGGAAATTGGGGCAAATCGACAAAAACGCACAACACATTCTAAATTAATTTCTAATGTCAAACGACGTCGTCAGTCACGTCAGAGGCAAGAAGTAGAAATGCACATCTTGGTATATTTTGAGAGGGATGACGTGAAGAGGTAATTTATACACAGGATTTATTTATGAAAATGATAATTTTACTCTCTCATTTTCATCATTTTGCAAATTGAGACTGAAATATATTTTCTAACCTCCCTTTTATACAGAAACACATGCCTTTGCACCTCCCGTCAGAATATGGCCTTAAAACTTAAATGTCTAAGATCGCTGTATATAAACATATCGCCGAATCCGGAAATTGTTAAGAATTTCGAGGTCGGTCATGGCATGGGTCCTTGTGATGGAATAGGTGGGGCATTTAAAAGGATGGCCTCAGAAGCAGTAAAGCAGGGGAAAGCCGTTATTCAAGATGGATATAAATTCTATAAATGGGCTCACGAAAACGAAAAGTCAATTAATGCATTGTTTTACTCGCAAGTGAACTATAATTCAGCATCCCAGTTCCTGACAGACATGGTAACAAAAGTAGTTCAGAGTACTATGAAATTACATGCCGTGTAAACTCCTAGTCACGGTATAATCTTTACCCGATCGGTTTCCTGTTATTGTAGCGGCTGGATAGACCATAAAACTTACATCTTCTGCTGCTGTTGTTGGTTCTGCTACTTCTCGTTCTTCACCATCATCATCTGCTACTGGTTCTTCATCATCTGCTACTGGTTCTTCGTCATCTGCTACTGGTTCTTTGTCATCTGCTGCTGATTCTTCGTCATCTGCTGCTGATTCTTCGTCATTAGTTGCTGATTCTTCGTCATCAGCTGCCGATTCTTTGTCATCGGCTGCTGGTTCTTCATCATTGGCTGCTGGTTCTTCATCATCGGCTGCTGATGCTATGCCGTCTGCTACTGGTCCGTCATCATCTTCCTCGTCTGTTGCTATTAATGATCAATCTAATGTAAAAGAAGACGCCTTTATAGCTGCTCTTTATGACGGGGATTGGTATGTTGGTTGAGTTCTGGAGATGGAGAAAGCGGACACAGCTGAAGCTTTCGTCACATTTATGACCAAACATTATTCTAAAGGTCAACTTACTTTGCGATGGTCGGAAAGACCAGACGAATTGTTAATTCCATTATCAAATATCATCCGAATTATCGACGAACCTCTCCCTGTTGGAAGATCTAAGAGATATTATCAGTTATCGGACGGGGATTTAAATGCCCTTAAAGAAACAGATACGTTACCTTAATGTTTGAGATACATACATGCACTATTTGATGTTGATGTGCCAGAAACATAAATGGTTATCTGTTTATTGTTGTTTTTAGCGAAGTTAAAATGGTTATTTTTTACTTTCGATATTGTCTGAAAAATCAAATTATTTGCTACAGATACGTTACCGCAAAAACAAATGATACTAAATTTTAAATGGAAATTCGTCATTTATACAAGATCGCTCGATAAATTCCATATTAATAGTAGCCTTTATTCCATACAGCGATCATCATGCTCTTACCCTGTTTGATTGTCCATCTTATATTTCACAATAAAGACCCGAATTTGTCAACATTATTTAATTTTAAACATACGGAAACCACCGTGCATTGTTTGACGAGATATTTGGAAACCCTTTCAAACTTTTATCCCCAGATATATTTTCTTTTGAAATAAAACGTATTTTAAGTTACA